CTGCTGGTGCTCAATCAGAGTAAGTGTCTCAGTGGGGTGCAGGAAAATCACTCTGCAGCACCATGTTCCACTTTTACCATGCGCCACACACATTCTCCTGCAGGAGATTATCCTGAGGATGTGTTGCTGTGTATATAAATACTTCTTACAGTCTATACCTTCAGACATAAGTATGGTCCCCCTGTATCCTGTAATGGTTAACTTACACCTCCACTAGTACTGCATAATTGAGAAATAAATATAATAAATTATATTACAATTAAAAGACCGTTATGAGGTGGCCAGACACTCTTCAATACACACATTTACTTAGAACTGATAACTTTGCTGGGAGTACAGTCTCAGTAAGATGTAAAGCCTTACCTGTGGAGCTGTGGGTTGTGCCCAGCTCTCTGATACGTGTGTCACATGTCTTTCCCACGCAGAGAGTGTGCACATGGTCAGCCTGGAGGGGGTGCTGAAGAGCAAGAAGAAGCAGCCTGAGGTCCCCTTCTCCTTCGCGGTCGAGTCTGTCGGTAAGTGGGGGCCCGGAGAAGAGGAGGCACAGTCGCTCCACAGCGCCTGGCTCTGTGGCTCCTTAATTACTTCAGCGGGAGACTCACTTACATAAACACTGACTGACGCGACACTTGAATAAAGAGATAAAGGGCTTAATTCAAAGTTTGAGGAGGATTGAAAACCTCCTGAGAAAGGAGGAGTCAAGTTGCCTCACCATCAGTCGACCATGAATGAAGAAGCCAAAACAAGACGTTGTTTTGTCATACATTTTTCATTTCTTTTTGGTTAAAACTGGGAGTTAACAGGAAGTACTCTGATACAATGACCAATGCGATTTAGGGTGAACTGTGTTCAGAGTAATATCACACAGACTTGTACAGTGATAAAAACGGAAGGATTCATGTTATAAAGCTCAGTGATAAAAATACATCAAAGCAAAGAATATACAGTGCTTAGGCTAAACAAGAGACTGTTTAAAAGTAGGCTTCACACATAGCTACATTTAAGAACAGAGGTTGTAATGGTCAAACCTGGTAATGACTGCCCAGGACTTGAATTATGGTAGAATGAAGGATTTGTGAGGCAGTCAGTAAATATTGTTTTTTGCTAATCTTGGGATTGGACCAGACAATCCTGGGGAGAAAGAGACACATACAGTAACAACATATATTCATTCTTATCTATTCAAATTGAAGATACCAAATACTTGTGAAATATAAAGACAAAGGAAAGAGCATGGCAAACGAATATACATCGTTAAAAAACAAACTTTCTTTAAAGCACTGATCTACAGTATGTAGTGATTATTCTCCCTGTTGGGGAACCCTCTGCTTGCTTTCCGAGATCATTTACAAACGAGCAAACGGTCCTGTCTTGGTCACAGCAGCAGAAGCAAATACGACTGAAGAACAGAACAGCCGATCCCTTTAGGAATAAGTCCCAACCAGATTGCTGCTTCCACGTTTTGCATTTATTATTAAAAAAAACATGCAAAATGGTAAAAATCAGTGTGGAAACCTGAGTAGACCAATCTACAAAAAGGAATGTTCAAACTTTCTCCCAGTGCTCAGGCCCCTGAAGCACAAAGGGGTTTTCTCCCAATGTCCTATGGCCTAAAGGCCTGTGGTTTGCAAGGAACCTGCCTTTTAAAACTGATTCAACGGGTGCCAACACTTTAAAGATCCACAGGAACAAGTTCAAGTTCATTGTCATTATACTCATACACAGGCATATGGTATACCGAAATGCTATTTAGCTAGCTCTCAGATGGTAAGCAGAACAAAAAACCCAACAACAATACAATTGTATAAGAGAAAGACAGAGACAACAGGCCATGTGCAAAACAACAACAGGCCATGTGCAAAACAATAAGAAAAGAACAACAACAAAAAAACAATGCTAAAAAGATCCGTTTAAGAGAGCTCGCTGGGCTGCTGCCTCTGTGGGTGCCCCTCGGCTGAGGAGTGGAGAAACCAGGGCAGATTAAGATCGCTGCATTCGCATCTTTCTGCTTTGCTTGACATGGGAGGTGGCCCGCCAAGCTTCCAGCTCTGCAGGTCCTCTGAGGGTCCTGGGAGGGCTTGCTCCAGGCAGGCGTGTGAAGCCGCGTGTGTGTGTGCGTGTCCCCACAGTGTATTTCGAAGACAGTATCCTGGCGCTGTGGAAGCATGGCTGGCAGAGGAGGAGCACCAGTCTGCTGGAGGTCCTGCAGGAGTACACAGATCTGAAGAAGACCTACAGACTGGTGGGCTCAGACAGGTACCTGCTGCTCACACCCTCGCCTCGCTCTTTGATCTTTAGTTTATATAGGCAAGGAGCCAAGCGCACACAGCAGCTCTGTTATTGTCACGGACGTCCAAAGGGACTAACTGTGGGGAGCAGGAGAGCGGAAAAAGACCCATATGCGTAGCGGCGAGACGGGAAAAAGGCCCGGGCTCATTAGTGCAAAGAGTTCAGGAATGCCGTATAGAAACCTATGCCCTCAGGGAGCGGACGTGGGGCGCCCTGGTGCTAGGCGGGTCTCAGGACATCTGAACGTCAATGCTGAGCGAGGACAGAGTGCAAGACCCGGAAATATATAGCCCAAGGGAAAGAGAGGGACCGGAAGGACAGCAGACCGGAAACTAGGGACAGGACAGAGAAGGAGCGCCCTCTGGCTACAGAGGGCGTGACAGTTATAGAATCAAGAGTTTTCTGTGGTAACAGGAGACAGGACTTTCTAGCATCATTTCATGCCTCTCCTGTCTAACAGGCGGAAAGGGCCTCTGGGTCTATGGTCCTACATTGTGGGGAACCTGGGTCACGGTACAGGAATTTCCCAAGTGGAGGTTTTCCTGCAACCAGGGACTCCCGTGACTTAATAATAATAATAATTCCTCACACTTATATAGCGCTTTTCTGGACACTCCACTCACAGTGCTTTACAGGTAATGGGGATCCCCTCCACCCCCACCAGTGTGTACCCCCACCTGGATGATGTGACAGCAGCCATAGTGCGCCAGAACGCTCCCCACACATCAGCTCTCAGTGGGTGGTCAATGCTGACTTTCCTGTTAGGTGCTGTGAAGTTCTCAGCATGTCATGTTGTGAATAGCTCTGACAAGGTGTGACATAGGCTTGGTGTGTTATGAATACACTTCTGTGTATTGAACACATCACAGAAATCCTTACCATACCACGTGGACCAACATCTCCCAAACACACTGGAATGATCCAGATGAAGTGATCTTCTTCAGGCACTGTGAGGTGCATGTTACTGGTCCATTTTGTTTTGTACTGTGCATGTAGTATCTCTGTATTTTACTGTCTATTAACTGCAGAGATGAAGCTCCTGTACCAAGTGCTGTGTTCAGAGAAAGTGCTTTTGTGGCTCAACACATTCAGTACTATGACCTGAGCTGTGCTTGTCTCTGCAGGATGGTGGTTTTGGAAACCCGAACGTCAGAGGACTCATCCGCAAACAGTAACCTCTATATCGTGGAGATTGCGGAGAGCATTGTGCCCGTATCGTGAGCGCTCATATGCACACACACACATACACACACGTGCACAGAGAAGATGGATGGACGCATTGGTGAAATGGTGTTCATGTTTAGTCACTAGCTGGAGCGTGCACAGGTAGTCTTCCAAAACTTGCAAAAAAAATTAAATTGGTGGTGCACAACAGTATGCAAACAACCAGGTAATGACAGATGGAAACAGACAGGCAGGAAAAAAAACCAACTAATGTCCCAAATGCACCTCTTCACTGTCACTATCATAGAGCATGAAGATAACCATTCACCCAAAGACCTGAGGTAAGATGGCAGAAGGACCATGCGAATAACAGCTCTGTTTCAGTCAAGCCCAGCTGACACTGTGAGACACGCGTTCGCACAGTGGCCTTGGCTGAAACTGTCTGGTCATTCACATGGTCTGTATGTCAAATGGTATTGAATTAACCTTTCTCTTGCCCCCGAGGGGATTTGTCTAGCACATCAAGAGCTCATAAACACAGAACATATAAGACAATAATACAACACAACAGCAGTACAACACCATGATACAGAACAACATTTAACACCATTGCTCAATCAGAACTCCATCCAGAACCATAAGAGTAACTGGTAAAGTGTTATAAAACAACAATAATATTAAACATCCCTACCTGCAAACAATCTTTTCACTGTTCAACAACTGAATCAGTCCAATCAGTTCTCTTGATTGCATACCATCCTTGTATTGTATTACTAGGGTTTATCACACGCTCCTTAGTGAGGGACAGCATGTTGTACTAGCAGGCTGGTATTCAATTTCACAAAATGTAAATTCTATCTCCGTAAGACAAAACGTAACCATTGTGTCTGACAGTTGGTGTTGTCGGAGGTTTGTTTAGACCGCTGGCAATGTGAACCCGGGGATTAGTCAGGCCGGTATGCACAACTGCTTCCATTCAAACACAGGCATCCTTAACTAAAACACTGCGGGACAAGTCATCGACAGGCACACGCACCCATTCAGCCACTGCTGCACTCACAGTCACGCACACACTCTCCCGAGGCACGCGGGGAGGTCACCTGACCAGACGCCGGCGGGCAACAGGAGCAATGTGAAAGTCATGTGACAGCCCCTGGACTCTGCTGACGCTTGGATGAAGTGTGAATGTAGTTCTACTGTACATTTCAATCCTGTGAGGCTTTTTACAGTGGAATCTGTAAATGTTCACGTTAAGAAGTGCTTTTTTAGAAAGTAAATAATTTATGAAATGTGTTCTAGAGTGATTTGCGGCCTGCCTTTTCTTGCCTACTCACACAGGTTACACAGGGCTGAGACTTTGCCTGAAGTGGTTTAGCGGTATCACGTCTTTTTTGTCATTAGATCAGCAACGCGTCTGCCTTACAAATACGGTTTTGTCATTCCATGCGGTTGTCTCTTTACAGCACGGGTTGACACAGAACATATCCTCCTCCCTCCTCTTTGCTCGATCAAATATCGTAGGATGGAAGAAAAAAAACAAAAACCGTCGGGATCTGTACCTGATCTGTTCACAGCGACCTGTCACTACCCCCAGACAGTGAGAAGAAATAAAAAGGCTTGAATGTGAAGCAATATAATAATATTTCTATCTGAACCAGGAGCTGGCCACAGGATACTAACTATTAATAACAGGTGGTACAGTGGTACAGTACCACATAAACCTGCACACAGAGCATTACTAATACAGCATGACTAAATATAGCCATAGCCCACAGTTTTTTCCCCTGAGTTAGGACATCCCCAACAGTCCAGCTCCCTGCCAGGCACGGCCCTGGAGCAGCACGTTCTCTTGGTCACCCTGAAGTCACCTCTCCCATGATGTAAAGGCACCTGGGAGTCCTTTGCAACAAACACCTCAGCCCCCACTCCTGACTAAACTGAACATGCTCCTTCCCGAAGTGCAGAGCCTCATCCTGAAACAGCTCACACGAGGGTCCAGGGTGACCCCTAAAAACCTACTGGATCAGGACTTTCAGGACAACGAATATTTCAGAACTTGGTCTGGGTTTTATTTTTAGAATTAAATAATTTTAACTTGGTGATTTAATGGGAGTTAAACACGAGCCTGAGGCACATATAATACCAGATACCGGAATGTGGACGGTGAAAAAAATCCTTTGTTGGCAGGACTGCCCTCCGTTTTTGATCAGCAGGTCTTAACACGTTCTTGTTTGCAGATCCCCTTTTCAAGAGGTCAGTAAGAGCCCGGATCTCAGAATAAACATGTAATGAGTATAAGTAAAGGTACTGACAATTATAGGATTCTATCATTCCTATTCCTATCATTCTATATTCTAAACATTTTCAAGCTGCTTTATCCCAATCAGGGTCACGGGGGAGCCAGATTCTGACCCAGGAAGCAATGAGCTCAAGGGTGGGTACGCCCTGGATGGGACACCAGTCCATCACAGGACACACACGCACTCGCATACACTCACACCAAAGGCCAGTTTGACCAGGAGCCCATTTACCTACCAGTACGTCTTTGCAATGTGGAGGAAAACGGAGCACCTGGAGGAAACTCACAAGAACATGGGGAGAACATGCAGACTCCACACAGACAGCACCCCGGTCTGGAGCTGAACCCAGGACCCCAGTGCGGAAAGAGAAGCATCGCGAACCACTGTCCCGCTGAGAGATCAGAAGTGGAAATTCCCTTCAACAGAGCGTCGAACAGAGCGTGTTGCACAAGGTTGGGTGTGGGGGTGAAAAGTTTTTCTTGAAACGAACTACAGTAATGTTTCCTATGTTCTGTCGTTCTCACCCTGGTATGGAATTATCTCTACAGATACCACCATCCCAAAAAGAAACCACTAATAATCTGGACCATTCCTGCAATATTAATCCCAGGAATATACTGCAACCTGTAATTGCTACACACACCTCACAGAGCTTATCCTGAGGGACCGATTTTGTGAGAAAATAAAGGATTCCTGAAACCTCTTCATTATGCAGGTTCGTTTTGTCCTTGCCTGAGCAACTGGTCAAATACTAAATTCTGCCGGACAGCGCCCTCAGACTCCCCCCAAGCCAGGTGTGCAGAGGTGTGTGTTCGTTTAACTGAACAACAGCTGGGAAAACATCTGGAGCAAGGGGGGGATGACCGCCCAGATGTGCCTGTGTGTGGCCTGTGTGCAGACAGCAAACGGAACACATGTCCCACTGTATCATTCGGAGCTGGAGAACCTAGCGCAACCTTTTGTTTTTTCTCCTGTAACGCACATGCAAGCAAGTCACCTAGAAATAGCGTTAGCTGGCGCCGTTGCTTTGTGATCCCTTCAGAACCGCTCGTCAGCTTTGTAAACTCCGATTGGTGAGCATCAATACCTCGCCGAGACACGAATGGTTACTGTATCGACAGAAAAAGCGCAAGGCTGATAAAACAGGAGTATTCCTGATCGGGAAATAATCTGGAATGCACTGGTAAAGACATACAGACGTTGTTCTCGTTGAGGGCGCTGTAAATAACTAGACACTACAACACACCCTCACAAGCGCAAACTACGGCCATCGATGCCTCTTTTAGGGCTGGCGCTGCGGTATTATTTCCAGGTCACGGGCTACGCTTCCTGTGCGGTGTGTTTGTATTAAAGATGGCCGGTGATGGAGGTGCTCTAAAGGATATCAATGAGATTAAATCCCAGTTCCGGACAAGGGAGGGTTTTTACAAACTGCTCACCCTCTCGGATTCCCAGCAGCGGGGCGGGCTACCCCGGGGACCTTCCGCCGGGTCGGCAGCAGGTCCCGGGGCCGGGCCGGGCGCGATCCCCGGTGGGGGCGGAGGGGCTCCGGTCCCCGGGCCCGGGGCAGGCTCGTCCGCCGCCGCCGCCTCAGCCGCCTCCACCTCGGCGGCCGGCTTCCTGCCTCCGGTCCGGGTCTCCATGGTGAAGCTGCAGCCGGAAGACCCGAGCGAGGAGTCTGAACGAGTGTGCTTCAATATTGGCAGGGAACTTTATTTCTACACCTACACTAACATCAAGAAGGTAATATCATAATATTGTTTGAGACAAAACACGCTAAAAAGGAGGCAAAGGAATTCAGGCAGCGTTACGGATTGAACGTGACGGAAAATGCTTTTGAAACTCCTGGTCTGATGAGTATAATTTACAATGCTTTGGGTTAGGGGGCGTTTTCGCCCAGTTTCTGCAGGTTAAGCGCTATGTCCCACGGACTGCTTCCATTGGACAAGAACGATTTTTTCCCCCGTGCATGTTTATATGAAGAAAAGCAAGTGTTGGGGGGTTTTCGGTAAATCGTGTTGCTGTTTCAAGGTGTTTCTGTCTGGTGAGGTCCAACAGCCGCTGGCGGTCACATCTGCAGCAGCTGTCGCCCGATTCATTCTCTGTGTCGGGGACCGTGCCAGAGAGAGCAGTGCCCTCTTCTCCCCACAGACGGGGTTCATTTTAACTGCGAGGGAGCCTTTCCAGTGTAACACGCACTGTGTGTTCAGAAGTTTGCTTTCATTAATTCAGTACACCGGCAGTGCAGTACCAAAATACCGATTGGCGTTCACGCCTGCAGAGCCAGCAATTCCCCCAGTCGGATTCTCTCACGCGTTCAAGCTCCGTATTGCAAAATTCGCATCCTGTTCGGGGCCCTGTAGTATCGGTAATCTATTTTTAAGTTGAAGGATGTGTGAGAATTGTCATATATTTGGGAAGAGTCGCAACAATAGACAATTGCATTGCAGGCGAAAGGATTTATTATTAAGGCAGGAATAACGTATACTTTATACTTTGACAGTGCCTCCACATACTGGTTCGTATTTGGGTGTTTCTCATTGGTGGGAACGTAGCTCTCTTGCAAACAGGGTGCCGCTAGAGGGCGCTCTTGGGTGCGTTGAGAACAGGAATGTGTTCAGTTTGTTATTCCTGGATTAACTGGCATACTGCATTGCATTTTCATACTTAGCTCAACTGAGTACGTGCGTGTGTGGACACAGAGCCCGTACCCATCTCCTCCTTGAAAGTGGATAAACAGCAATTGTGAGTTCAGAGCTGCGGACGACACATGAACAGCACGGTGTTTGTTGATACCTGCGAGGGTATTGTCATTGAGTGCCTGTTGCTTTGCGTTTTGAACGCGGGGGGCATTTCTTTTGGGGGTACAGGCAACGCGTTCTGAATGCTTCATGCTTGTTGCCTTTGGTTTGCAGGCACAGACACATGGAGCTAAAATCAAACTGGAACATTCGCTTTTGTTCAACATTAGTCCAGTTTGTACAAGACTGGTGACGTGCATATGGGCCTGCTAGCCTGCAAGAGAACTGCTTTTCATATCTGAAGAGCTGTTAGAAGGAGCCTGTTTCTGGGGAAGCTGGGAGAGACCCAGGCTGCAGTGACTGGGAAAGTGCTGAGCCTGGTGCTCTGATCGGGCTTGCCCTAAAACCTGGGGTCAGTGAAGCTCTGAAAGGCATGGTCTTTAATCAGAGGTGCTCTCAGAAAATCGATAATCAAGCAGGAGGTGCTCGTTAAGTGACCTAATCAGCCCTTTACAAGAATCAGCGTCTTTAAAAAAACGCTGCTCTCTTTTACTTAACCCATTAGAAAGCAACTCTTGTACTGGAATCAATGGAATAAACTTATTACTTGAACTCTTGTACTGGTAAGGTTGGTTAAAAATGTCTTGCAGAAAATGCGGTCTAGAACCCAATTCTGTGACATCATTGTTTCTGATTCTGTTCCTGTTGCCCCTTTTAATGCCAACTGCTTATTTCTTTAACCTGTGTGACAGTTGACATGAATAATAATAATAATAATAATAATAATAATAATAATAATAACAACAACAACAACAACAACATCACTTTATTAACCCTTTACAATTTCTTGCATTAGGAATTATCTTTTTGCATACCCCAGCCTGCTCCCCATGAGACACACAGACAGGGAGAGAAGCTGGGGGTCAGAGTGCAGGGTCAGCCATTTATACGGCGCCCCTGGAGCAGCTGGGGTTAAGGGCCTCGCTCAGGGGCCCAACGGAGTAGGATTCCTCTGCCGGCCGCGGGATTCGAACCAGCAACCTACCAGCCACAGGCGCAGATCCTCAGCCACAGAGCCACCACTCCGCCCCCCATAAAGTGGGTTAGATGAGACTTGTTTGCTCCCTTCTGTATTTTGTCTCAGCCAGACCTTGCCTTGTAAAGTTGTGCTGCTAAGTGAGAAAAGAAGAATGCGTTCAACCCGTCATAAGTACCCAACTGCAGTGGTCTGATTATACAGAACTATGTATCTGCATTGAGCACCCTCTAGTGGAACAAGGTATAAAACAAGGTAAAATCTTGCAAAGCCTGGTATTTGTTTTTTTTTTTCCCTGATCGTTGCTTATCCTGATTTGAAAATCAAATAAACCGAACTCGCACCGATCCTTTACCGCGGTATTTTGTCCTTGCCCCATCTCTCAGAAGTCGAAAAATCCATTCAAGCACTGGGCATTTTAGAACCGAAAGTCCTATTTCAGACATGCTTTTTAAATCGCCCAAACCACCAGTAAGCAGGTTTGAGGACCTGCAGTTTTGGAACATGTCTGACTTAATAGCCTAATGGCTTTCAACAAGAGCAGCTATTGCCTGAGTGATCCCCTCCGTGTGACATCATTGGCATGACTCTGGCTGGCTTTGATGTCTAAATCCATTAGAGATTATGTTGTGACCATTGTTGTCACTCAGAGTGCGGACTCCGATAGGCTGTAAAGTTACTGTAGATTTCGGGGTGCTGCGTTGTTGCCGTCTGATTACAGCTCGTGTGGTATCCCCCCCCCGTCACTCCTGTCTTCCAGGCGGTGGACCTCAGCAAGCCCATCGACAAGCGCATCTACAAGGGCACCCAGCCCACGTGTCACGATTTCAACCAGTACTCGGCCACGGCGGACAGCGTGTCGCTCATCGTGGGCTTCTCTGCCGGGCAGGTGCAGTACCTGGACCCCATCAAGAAGGAGACCAGCAAGCTCTTCAACGAGGAGGTGTGGTCCGCTGACCTCTCGGCACTTTTCTGTTCCTCTTGGCGGGCGGGCGGGCGCCAGTCCGTTGCTTTCCCTGCTCCGGCAGCCGGCATCCGGGAACGCTCGGCAAGTTGCGTCACGGCCCGCGGCGCACAGCTGGTAGGGCCGCCTGGGCTGCCTGGGCCCCCCGATCCGCACGGGGACTCCTGCCCCCGTGAGTTGAGTGACGTCGGCGAGAGACCCGACGGTTGCTCTGCCGGCGGGCGCCTTGAAGTCTGCAGAGACCACCATCTCAGTAGGGGTGGGGGGAGAAGTTTGTCTGGCTCTGCTTTCCCCTGGGGGACAGCAGGCTTTCTTGGTTGACTCATGGGAGTCTTTGCCCTTCCCCGCGTTGACGTCTGACCCCTCTTTTCCCCCCCCCTCCTCCCCCAGAGGCTGATCGACAAGTCCAAGGTGACGTGCCTGAAGTGGCTGCCCAAGTCGGAGAACCTCTTCCTGGCCTCGCACGCCAGCGGGCACCTCTACCTCTACAACGTGGAGCACCCCTGCGGCACCGCGGCCCCCCAGTACTCCCTGCTGCGGCAGGGCGACGGCTTTGCCGTCTACGCCTGCAAGGCGAAGGCCCCCCGCAACCCGCTGCTGCGCTGGACGGTGGGCGAGGGGGGGCTGAACGAGTTCGCCTTCTCGCCAGACGGCGGCCACCTGGCCTGCGTGGGGCAGGACGGCTGCCTGCGGGTCTTCCACTTCGACTCCATGGAGCTGCAGGGCGTGATGAAGAGCTACTTCGGGGGGCTGCTGTGCGTCTCCTGGAGCCCCGATGGGAAGTACCTGGCCACGGGGGGGGAGGACGACCTGGTGACCGTGTGGTCCTTCGCCGAGGGCCGCGTGATCGCCAGGGGCCACGGGCACAAGTCCTGGGTGAACGTGGTGGCCTTCGACCCCTTCACCACCAGCCTGGAGGAGGGGGAGCGCGGGGAGCTCAGCGGGAGCGAGGAGGACGTGCAGGAGGCCGCGCACTTCGGGAGGGTGCGCACCAGCAGCACGCTGTCCCGGCTCTCCAGGCACAGCTCCAAAGGCGGGGGCCCCTCGGTCACGTACCGCTTCGGGTCCGTAGGGCAGGACACCCAGTTTTGCCTGTGGGACCTGACGGAGGACGTGCTGTACCCCCGCCTCCCTCTCTCCCGCGCCCGCACCCTGACCAACACCTTCAACTCCGTCATTCCACCCTCCGCCAGCGGGGGCAGCAACCTAGGGGGCGGGGGCAACAGCGATGCCCCCGCCGGGCATGGACATCACCACCTGCCCCGCTCCCTCTCCCGCTCGAACTCCCTCCCCCACCCGGCTGTGACCAACGCCTCGAAAAGTCCGGCCTCCTCGGACGTGGGGGGCGGCGGCGGCGGGGGGGCAGGGGGGGCAGGGGGGGCCCCCTTCAGCATCGGCCGCTTCGCCACGCTCTCCCTGCAGGAGAGGAAGTCGGACAAATCCGGCGGCGGGTCAGGGGGCTCCTCCTCCTCCTCCTCCTCCGGCGGCGGCGAGAAAGAGCACAAGCGCTACCACAGCCTGGGCAACATCAGCAAGAGCAACGACAAGATCAACGTGGTGCCGCGGAGCCAGCGCCTGGACGCCGCCAAGGTGCTGGGCACCACGCTGTGCCCGCGCATGAACGAGGTGCCCCTGCTCGAGCCGCTGGTGTGCAAGAAGATCGCCCACGAGCGCCTGACCGTGCTCATGTTCATGGACGACTGCATCATCACCGCCTGCCAGGAGGGGCTGATATGCACCTGGGCGCGGCCCGGGAAAGCTGTGAGTACTGCCCGGCCAGGTCGCTGGTTGGGTTGGGCTGGGCCCTGCTTGAAAACAGAATCCCTCGGCAGAGGCCCGTGTGCTTCGTGCACAAAAGCAGCGACGGAATAGGCGTGCCTGTGCCTTGCCCAGCTCACAAAACGGGAGTAAAGTCGAGGAACGACCTCGGGTTCGCCCTCCAAGCGAGTGCTGCAGGTGTCTGTGACCCTGATCGTGCCACAGAGCCACAGTGTGTCCTGCTTGTCCTTGCAGCTGAGCCCTGAATGACTCAGCGTTTGAATCAGAGGGCGTTCGGATGCTTTCCGGCTCCCTGCTCATTTACCATTCAGGCGGCAGCTCCCTTCAGAAAGCCGTAAGGCAGGAGTAAATGCACACATACAGACGTCACAGTGGCAGGCCGAATGAGTACGCTAAAGCATTGTCTCTTACTTACACTGGATTGCACTGCATTATTTGGTGAAGAGAGTCTTCCAGTTGAAAAAGAACAACATTGTATTTGGAAAATGAATTCGGAAGACCATCAAGTAACTTTTTTCACTTTAAGGGAACTTAATTTGTGGGAATCTTTATAGCATGCATGCAAAGACAAAACCCACATTCAAATTGGTGCCTTTCGGCTGTATTGCAGTTAAACTGCAGCCTGGTGCCTTTCGGCTGTATTTATGATGAACCGGATCCTGCAGCCTGTTAACTGTACTCATCTTGGTTTTTTTTCCCCTCCATCCGCAGAGCTTGACGGCACAGAACGGCAGCTCGCCCAGTGGGACGGTGGTATAGCTCTGGTGGACACCTTCGTCTCTCGGTTTGCCATAGAGCCTGTGACGGACTCTCGCCCATTAACTGAAGGACTACAGACTTGCCAGTTCGCCAGAGTGTTGCTTCTCCCTCTCTCCCCCCTCCCTCTCTCCCAGGGGAAGGGACGAGTGTGACACCGTTCTTCTGTGGACACCAGGGCTGGGCAAGGGGGGGGACTCCCTTTTGTGAAACACTTCGAAGCCACGACTGTTGTATCTTATTTATTTTAACATACAGACTCTAGTAATTTATATTGTACATATGCAAAGGATTAGATGTATTAAATATCTAAAGGGGGGAAAAAAAAGATTTAATATATTAAAAATATATATTGTACATAGTTACACAGTTAAAGCTGAGCGTCCGAGACTAGAAAGCTGCAGCTGTAGTGATAGTGTGTTAGAACTCCCGAAGTGACGTCATGTCAATTAAAACAGATGTATATGATGAGGCTCGTCAGATGCACGTGTTCTGAGTTTTTAGTGGAAGGGGAAGTTGTTTTTCTAACTCAGGGTGGTGAGGGGGGTTTATCTGTTTTAAAATGCTTACCTGTTGACACAGAACTGGCGTATTTGTCAAGCAGCATGCTGCACCCCTGTTTCCCAGCTGCTCATCTTCCAGCCTGAATACCTTAGACAGTGTACACATTCTCAGCCCTGCCATATTGGAACAAACCACAACACCAAGCACATAATGGAGCAGGCACACACATCTGCGGGTGATTCAGACAACAGCGTGCAGAGACCTGCTCAGATTGAACACCAACGTGTACAACAGTGGGAGAACAACTGGGAACTGGAAATCATCCAGTGTGGTTTAACGGAAGCTTATCAATTTCATATGGCCGGGCTCAGTACAAAACCTCCCCTCTTGCATCTTTTGCCACTGGTACATTCAGTTTTAGGTCTATGTCCTGTAACTGCTGCATCAGAACAAGTTGCCTTGTAAGAACTGAGCTCTGTTGCTTTAAACCAAACAAAGTAGAAAAACTGAAAAATGCAACTGGCAGGGTTTGTTCAGTCTCCTTTAAAGAGCTCAATACCAGTGAGTACCAAGCCTGGTCCAGGAGGAACACTGTCCTTGCCAGTTTCATTCCAGCTGAGCTTCAAATCACCAGTGCTAACCGATGACCTCATTGATCAGCTGGGCTGTTTATACTATTCTACTTGTGTCTTCAGTCCATCCTGAGTGTCAAAAATGCCTTATTTCAAGGACCGCGTGTCCAAAAACAGCAGTGTGCAGAACGTGGCGGACTCTATCCTCAACTTCCCTGTCGTTGTAAACAGGTCTTACTAATTGTCCCTCCTACAAAGAGCGTTTTCCCTTCTGCAGTCAGCCGGTCGGCCACATTCTAGGCAAGACACCCAACCGAATGAAAGCGCTTCTGAATTACAGGCTTGATTTCCTGCTGCAGATCCCACTCAACCATTCAAGAGCTGAAGGCAAATTTCTAAATGTGCCCCAGAATGAAAACAGATTAGAAGAACAATTAGTAGGGTCACAAAGAACGTGGCTGGATGGAAAAGCCAGCAGACATTGTCTTCCTCGTGAACCAACGCTGGGAACCACTGCTCTAGATCTCCGGCGAGCAGGTCATGGAGTGTTGTTTGTGGGGCGGTGTCGGTAGATACCTTTTAAACATGAAATGGTTTTGTGAGCGAAAACTTTGAAAACCAGAAAGCCCTTCAGGATCTCCAGGTACGGGGGTTGCAGACTTCCTACTCTAGACCAAAGATGCCAGTGCGTTATGAATATTTCTGAAACACTAAAACGGATGTGTGCTGCCTGTTGTGTTTCTGTCAGGTGGCAGGATGAACTTCCGCTATTAAAAACCGTTCATCGGCTATGGCATGAAGAGATATGTCTTTTTGGAGAGTGCATGCAACAGGGGCCAAGATGAAATATCCCAAGTCGCAGAAAAAGAAATAAAAGTGTGTGCGTGTACGTGCAGCTCTCCATTATTATTTTTAAACATAGCAACTTGAAACATTCTTCTCCCAAAGAATTCACTTGCCTTTGATGAATTAAACTTGAAAGTTGGGGAAAAAACAGCTTTGATAATGCAAGAGCTGGTATAGCTGGCACAAGGGTATTTGCTAAGCAAATAGTAATGAGTGGGGTCGATACATTTGTAACATTAGTTTATGAAGAGCTGAAACAAGTTGGGTTTGTAGGAAAGGGGTGACGTGAAGTGAGCTGCTGGACTGGGCAGCCGGTCTGCCTCACATTCAGGAGCTGTTCTGGTGAGGAAAGCTGAGGTTGTGAAAGGGCAGCGGAGTCTTATCTGTCACTTCTCTTTCCTCGTGCTGTCCTGCACAGTCGCATTCGTCTCTGATCCAGAACAGCAGCATTCTCAGAATCACTCCGGCAGACTGCTTCCTTCCAGGTAGGTGGTTTTTATTTAAAAGCTGACCTTTTCGTCCAGGGTAATAGGGGTTTACCGCCGGGTATGGTGTGAAGAAAAGCAGCCCGTCTGTAATTGAGCCACTTCTTAAAACCGGGTCCTTTCCTGCGGTGTTTGCCTTCGTCAGCAAACTGACTTGTTGCTGAAGACTGGAGAGGCTTGTCAGTCACTGATTAATTCAGCAGCACTACATCATGTCAACTCTGGTCTTTAAGGGCTAGAGAGGTGTCAGAGTTGTGTTTAGTTTTTGTTGTCCTCTGACGTGAGAGGATTATTTGCAAAAGTATCACAAGCAACTGGAATTGTCATTTTTTTATTTACGCCAAGAAATGCAAGAATCCTGAGGAATTGTATTTACAATTTATTTATTTTTCTTCGTAAAGGACACAGATATTAGAGCTAAAACTAGGAACACAGGAATTTCCCTGACCTGCAAATGCAGAATGTAAAACCCATAGATGTGTTCGAATGTGGCAAAAGAATTAAAGATCTTAAGAATTTTAGGATAAGCTTACAAGCAAATGTAGCCGTTCTGAATTTCATAGCATGTAAATGTAATCCTCAATATAATTTACCTGAAAGGCTTGCTTAATTAAAATATTATTGTACAGTACATGAAATTTGGATTATTTTAACTGATGCTGGAAATGTGTTAAACGCCAAAGAAAATAATACACAAGTACCTAAAGATTCTTTGTGCAGTATGTATTTAGTGGTTTTTTATTAAACATTTACTGTGCAATTGTGACCCATCATGTAATTGTTTTACATTGTTAAAATGTTTCCATTTACCAGGCAAAGGGTTTATCTCTTTTTAAGTCTCTCGGTCATATGAGGCACAGCCCCACAGTGTTAAGGTGTCAAGCCACAACCAGCACTTCAAACTCCGACCAACAGACTGACTGCATTTGTAAACGGGTAAGTGGCAGGTCAGAGCACTGCGAGAACTTTAAAGCAATCAAGACAATGTTTCTAAGAGAAATGTGGAATCCAGTCCACGGTCATAACAATACTCCTTAACAATCTGCACAAAAGGAAATCCTGTCCAAAAGGTCAGCAAGGAAAACTGCAAATTGTAAAGTCCTGGGTGCAGGGTTCTCACCACTGTTTGTTGCATCAGTTCATTTGTAGTTACATAAGCTGCTTCTTGCAATTTAAGAATAACTGTCATAACTAAAACAGACATGTCCCTGTGGGCCAAAAATGAACAGTAATTCCTCACAACCATGACTACTGCCAGAAATGCCCCAGTATGGTCTCTCAACATATAACACACACATGCCTAAGTCTGTAAACAGACAGTTCAGAAATCAGTCCTTCAGTCCCCTGTCATCACTACAGTATAAATGTGTTATTGTGCTATAGAACAGCAGCAGCCCTGGTTTAGTATCACAGATCTTTCTGATGGAGACAGACGGGGCTGAATATTGGATTGGATTTTACATGCACTAGGACTATTTCAAATGCTTTTTTGCTGTTCTAGATGTTATCAGTGATTCGTGAGCCACAGGATACAGAAGTGCATTTCACCATTTGTGCAACACTGTGTGATAACTTATTTCTCCACGTGTCCACACAGAGCTGGGTTATTCATTGTATACCTAACCACATCCCCTTAGTGACTTTGTTTAGTGCTACTTTTTTAATTTGAACGGGTGTAAAGGTTTTAGATTTTGCTAAGGGCTTCTACAGTCCCAGCCTTTTCTTCCCTGTTTGTGCGACTACAGTAGGCACGGAGGCTCACTGTCAACTCTCCCTAAGGACAGTGGTGAATTCCTGCCATTTCACTTTGAATCGTTAACAAAGGAATCCGCAATTTTCCTTTTTGTTTCTTTATGATACAAATTGATAATACTTTTAATCTTTGTGAGGCCTTGACAAGCACAGAAACAACACTTTCACAAATGAACAAGAATGAAGTGATACTTATCTCAAATTTACAAAAGATGGTAAAACGGGGTTGTAAGTGAAACCAATTTATTTATCTTTTCATACCTACCAGAATTCTGAACTTTGATGCGAATTAAGAAAAACAGGGACCACCACTCGTGTTAATTTCTCTCAATGAGCTACACTGTTGTCTGGATTATCACAGCTGGGAAAACAGTGCAGGAGCTCGCAAGAAAATTAAAAAAGATTCAATCACAATTCACAACCAGAAACCTTGTAGACTTACCACCTTGTGGCCTGATCTCAGATTTTAGACACTAAGCTTTGCTTGGTCTGGTCAGTACCAGGATAGGAGGCCTCAGGAAAAGTCAATAAGTGTTGTAGTAGGTGATGCTTTTCATTGTGGATCGAATTGTCAATGTATGTAACCTTTCAGTATGTGAGCTATAGGAGGTGTTGACACACTTGTGAGAACAGTTGTGTTACCCAATTGCCTTTCCTAAATTCCACTAAGGTTTGCTCAATATGGCCTCCCTGAAGTTCCCCTTAATTCAGGTGGTGAAGCAATTCCCTACTCTGTACCCTAACGTGCTGGACTGCGGGGCAGAGAGCCTGCAGATGCCCTGTGTCACCCAGGTTGGACTGCACTGCAGTGGTGGGTGAAGTCCTGGGTTCCCTCCTATATGTGAAGTACTTCCAGATCATTTGGGAGACAAACCACTATATATGGGCAATCGTCTAAATAATTATCCATATCCCATTATTCAGTAAGCAAAATACTATGTAAAATAAAAGTAACCATGCTCCCTGACTCTATCTGCTAAAGCGGTCTTTTCACTTAAGCATTTTAATTCATTCATTCATTCATTCATTCATTCACAGGCTTGTACGGTCACCCTCTGGAATGACAGCTGTTATTCTTTTGTTTTCCACTGCGAAAGTATGGTATTGTCTGCTGTTTCAAAAGGGATGTAAAAGTTTGAGTAAAACAATTGGATTTAAGCTGGGCTTCAACCCAACGTGCCATAAGCATAGGTAAAACCAAGCAGTCAATAGATGCACAGTAGCAATGTGATCCTAGTTCAGGTGGGTAGCTGCGTCAGCATGAAGAAGGCCCCACGGCCGAAATGTTGTGTTTTCTTTCTTCTTTTTTTCAGCATGGAATCAACCTATTACTTGTTCCGTTATGTGATCCTAGTGCTTCATCAGTATGACAGGATTAGGATGTAAACAATATATGATTGTACTTCACTCAACCAGTGTACCAATGTCTATGTGCCACAAAGAGAATGAGTTTTTCCTCCATTAAACAAGTTGGAAAGGCATTCCTCCTCATTTTAAGCACTGAATGTGATAGTCATGTTTGATAGAGTTCACCAACCCTCACAGTAGGCTATTTCTTGCAGTCAATCAATTAAATTGTAGGGGTCTGTTTAGGCCCACCAGAATGGAATTAATAATTCTACTTTAGAAGCAAAATACTCCGGGTATAATGTACTGTGAGATTTGCAACAACAGCCAGATTCTAGGGAGTCAGATTATTGAATGTAAAGAATTTGTTTCATGCTCAGTATCGGTCATTCCTACCTATGTACTTCTGAAAATATACACAGCACACATCAAATTAGGACAACAAACATTCGAGCAAAATGTTCAGCTTTAAAAGGGATTTTTTCAGTTTAAAGGAGAAACTTTCTAAATCACATTTGTTTTTGTTTCTTGTAAGACAGGATCCAGAATATTTTAACACTTGGCCGTAATGGAACAGCAGCTCACTTCAAGCCAGGTGAGAACAGGAGAGAGGACTGCTATCAGACATTGCCAGCACCTCCAATAACATGCCACTGACGTTCTTCATAGAAACATGAGAATATCTGCAGTAAATATTGGAATACATTTATTCACAATCAAGCCCCAAGGAGACAACTAAACTTTGCACCACAAAATGGAAATAAACGAAAAGGATGCAGTTAAAAATTGTCAAGCTAAAACAGCAGAGAAAACACTCAGGAAGAAATATCCACAGACACCATCCAAGGCAACACCTGTCCAACCTGACGGACTGTGTGGACTGTCTACAGAACGAGAAGTAGAGGAGTTTTCTTGCCATGTGGACACGTACACTGGAATTCTTCTGCGCGGTGATCTCTCGGGACACGCACAGAGCAACAGGCAGCACCACACGATGTGGACAGTACAAACATAATAAATGATAACAACAGGAAAAAATCAATATGTTGTGGGACAATAAATATGCGGTTGTGAGA